AGTTGAGAGAACAAGTAGCTGATCACAGTATGAGCTATGATGAATATTACATGGATACGTCAGTTGATGAAATTATGGACTTGTTATACGAGGATCAGAATATTGTACCAAAAAAGCCATTGAATCGGAAACCATATATTCGAAAAGTTGGATATGGTGAAACTAATAGGTCGGGAAAACATGCTGCAGTTGTCAAGAATGACACAGAGCAACCTGGTGATTCAATGATGAGAGTTCTCAGAGAAAGTGCAAATGAAGTTCTTGAAGAAACTCTGAACCATGTCCTAGCAGAGACCAGAGTGGTGGACTTCAAGCGCAGGAGAGAGACGAATCGAGCTTCAGAACAGACTAACGCGGAATTCAACGAAGAAGTAAAGACAAATGCTAGTGAACACACAGTCCTTCAGAATGCACAAGAAAACAGTTGTAAAACTGCTGTGGCTAAGGATTCAGCTGATAAGCCATCAAAGCGTAGAAAACTTGTGCGACCAGTATTTGATGAAAACAACTCCAGGAGTGATTTGAATCACCAACTTCCTTGTCATACAGGTGACAAGGTTAACACAGGGAATTCAGATTCGAGCGAATTTCAATCCGCTCTCTAATAATTAACAATCTTGGTGAACAAAAAGATTACTCCATTGGTCATCAAGTTCTCCAACATGCTAACTCAAGGGGCGGTTTGCATTGTCTGAAGCTTGACATATGATGATGACGAAACTGAAGGAGGTAGTGCCATGATTGTATGCTAAATCATGTAGGTTTTCCCTCCAGCGTATCACTGTTTTGAGATCTTATGTAGATCTGCACATCAAGTTTTGTTTGAAAGGTCGTATTTTGATATGCAAATGAACAAATTTGCCCCTTGTGTAAATTTGCTATTTGCTTCCTTCATTTGTACCGCATAACAATATGTTGTTATTTTAGTTGATCTCGTATTTTATCCTACTAAAGCCATTATTATCATCCAAAACAGTGTACTCACGATTGAAGAAGACTAGCTAATGAAGTATAAGTAAATGTAAAATGAAGGAAGCAAAGTGGTGGAATTTCATGGGTAAATCATCTTTATATTTCTTAAGAATCGGTGAGACTCAAACATTTGCAAATGAAAATGAACAGAGAATAATTCAACGAGAATAGAGGGGTTAAAGTCATAGGGCGGGGTGGGTGTGGGGCGGGTTTTGCAAAACCTACAAAAATTTCAACTCGCCACGTCCCGCCCCGCATAGTTAGTTTTTCAGTTTTCAACCCGCCCTGCTCCGCTTGGACCTGCTCCGTCCCGCATAGTTATTTTTTCATTTTTTTTTATTTTTTTTCTAAGACAAACTAATTTGACATATTATTATCTATATCTATCTGTATTATATCATCATCATCTATACCTATACCATATTAAAAGCACGAAGACCCTTAGCGAAATGTTATTCGTGTTTTCTACCATTTGAAAATAGAATTCACATTGGATAAAATTGTAATTTAAATTATTTTCCTAATATTTAGGAATTCAAAATCAACTAAAATCTTTATCATTAAATCATTACTTATTTGAATTAAGTAAGAAGTCCTAATATTTAGGACACTAAAATTAATTAAAATTTTACTTTATGTAAATAATCTACTTATATACTATTATAAGAAGTAGAAGGAAAGTTTCTTTTTCAAGGAAACTCTACAATAATATTTGTGGTTCTTGTCATTGAATTTTAATCTACGAGGTTAAATTGGCCTCTATATTTACTTTCACACCAAACTATTTGTTATTCTTAAGTTTTCAATCCATAAATATTTATTTAATAACTTTGGTTATTAAATTATAGGGATAATTTTATAGATACTTTCGTGTTTCGCTCTATCACACTGACCTTTCCCGTGGCATATAATGTTATGCTTATCTTTTTTTTTTTTGTAATAATTTTTTTAACCTATTTTTGGTTAAAAGGTAGAGCAGTGGTTAGGCCTGCCATGTTCTATGGGACTGAGTGTTGGCCGGTTAAGAACTCACACATCCAGAAGATGAAAGTAACAGAGCTGAAGATGTTGAGGTGGAGGTGCGGGCATACAAGGATGGATAAGATTAGGAATGAAGATATTCGAGAGAAGGTGGGCGTGACCCCCATGGAGGACAAGATGCGAGAAACAAGACTCAGATGGTTCGGGCACATTCAGAGGAGGAGCACTGATGCACCGGTGAGGAGATGTGAGTGACTGGCTGTGGTGGGCACGAGGAGAGATAGAGTGCGACCTAAAAAGTATTGGGGAGAGGTGATCAGACATGACATGACGCGACTTAGGATTACTAAGGACATGACCCTTGACAGGGAATTGTGGAGGTTGAACATTAAGGTTATAGGTTAGGGGAAAGTTGTGAATATTTCAACAGCACAATAGAGTGAGACTAGCCAGTTAGGAGTTAGTCTGAGGATACTATTGGTCGTCTACTGATGCGGGACTTTATCTGCTGGTTTTTACTATACCATCCATCTATTTCGTATTTCGTATTTCGTATCTCTTATATTGGTGTTATTTTATTATGAGTCTATTGGTGGTACTAATATATCGTCTCTTGTTGCTTTCTTGAGCAGAGGGTCTCGTAGAAACAGCCTCTCTGCCCCTCGGGGTAGGGGTAAGGTCTGCGTACATATTACCCTCCCCAGACCCCACTTGTGGGATTATACTTGACCGTCGTTGTTGTTGTAAATAAAATATAATTTAAAAAATATGCCCTTTCAGTATTAGCTCTTATAATTAATTGATTTTATGAATATTTTCTTTAACAAATAGGCCAATATTTCTACAAATGGTATTTTCCATTAGCGTTAGAAACAATAGCCATTGTTGGAAAAAGATAGTAATCACATATTTGTGATAATACTTTAATAGTCATTTGTTGGAAAGGGAACAGAAAGCTAAAATTATCAATGGAAAAAAAAAAGATTTCTTTTATTTGAATGGTTTCAGGCGAACTCAAAGCATACATAAAAGAAAAACTAGGAAACTAAAAATAGCTTATGGTATTTCTTTATATTACCAAGCAAAACTGTAAATATGTCGAAGGCTGCAAAAGTTGTAATAAGGTAATTAAACAAGTCACTAACCCTGGTTCTAGAGACAAAGAACTAATATATTAATCATGACCAAGAAGAAGGAAAAAAAATATATATCAAGAATATCTCTATAAAAAAATTGGTGATACAAATATATATATATATATTTGAAGAAAAATCCCATCATATTATTCAAGAAATTTTGAGTTTCATGGAAATTTTTTATGTTTCTTTCTTAATGTATTCAACAAAAGAATTAAAAGTAGAAATATCCAAAGTAAAAACATTAATATGTCAAAACGCCATTTAGAATTGGACAACTTTTTCACCCTTTAGTCATATAATAATAATATGTGTAAAAATATAAATACACATTCCAGCAGATATTATCAGATATAATTTCTCAATTTACCCCCATCATAATTATAGTCTTTAATTCAACATCAAATTATAGAAATACTCGCAACAGAATACTTATCAATAATATATGAAGTTCGAACAATCTAATTTTAGAGCAGATGAAGAAATTATTGTTATAACATTCTATAAATTAATCTCTTTATATTAAATATATTATGTTAACTAGTCCTTATATATCAAATTAAAAAAAAATAACCACATAACTTCGGTAATTGGAGGTAAACTTAGAAATCATAAGGAAGTAAATTCTCTTGCACTCGATTTAATGTTACTTTTCGATACCATGCTTAATTAAAATTATAATGAGAACAATAAATATTTATCAAGCTTTTATCAAACCCTACTTTGTAAAGGACTCTTTCATAATCATCCATCATGAATTGGACAAGCTTAAATTATTTTCAAATTGAAGAATTTCTTTTTGAGGCTTGCAATATTCAAGTTTACCTTTTCAAATTATTTTCTAAAAGAAGCGTAACGATTATAAAGTGACTAAAATATTACTATAAGCAATGTGAATACATATTAATACATCGTACTTCTCTCTATAGGTTTCTACAGCAAATATACAACCACATGACAAAATTAGTAATAATTAAGACATTTGATGACTTCAGTAGGACATAATTTCTTTCTTTATTGAGCTAGATAAAATCGACATACATTATTTTTAAGAACGTACTATCTTTTTGTTTATATTAATACTCAAAAATATTGTTTAGTATATTAGTATAATTTAAAAAATCATACTTAATAACATAGGGTTCACGCGCAACGCGCGTACTCTGAGACTAGTATCATACTAAAAGTGGGAAGCTCCTACCTTCTAAGTTGGATTATGATTTTGCCCCTGTTGTAAATTAATTTTAGGTAAAATAATAAAACATTAAACATTTTATATAATAAATATGAAATAGTAGTATTACATTAATTACATGAAGGTTAATCACATTCAGGAGTATTTAAGTTATTTACTGCATTGTGTAATCCTAATCTATCTATATAGAATAACACAAGCAAAACAATATTAGGCTGCCAAGTGGAACACCCATCATGGTAACACATGTAACAAATTAAGACAACTCTCCAAAAAAGTTTGGAGTTTTTTTCTTTTACCTACAAATCAGCTAAATCAGCAAAAAAATCGAAATAACCAGCCAATACTCACATCTTTGCCAATCCTTCCACGATTTTAGCTTTCCGGTATTTCCTCCCCTTAATTAACGTGGTTGTTATTAAAAACAAAACAACATGCATCTCTACAAATTAGCAAAATCAGAACAGTTAATACTCCCACATTCATCCCACGATTTTTGGTTTCCAGAATTTGTTCCCTTTAATTAAACTTGCTGTTATTAAAATCAAGGAAAAGATTCCACCACTTTGTAAGTTCCCGTGTTTTACTCTGTAACTACCATCCACAATTTGCAATTACTTTTTTTAAATTTTTAATCCCTACGTTTTAAAAAAAAAGGAGGAATAATATCAGTTATTCCAACAAAACAGTCGGCATCTCAAACGCAAAACAATCTCCATTATCCCACGACTGCTCGTGGTCTCAAACGTGCTCTTCCAACTGAAAAATCTCAAATTTATATACACATCTATAACTCCATGATTTATGTGCTTTATATTTTCAAAACCTTTTCAACTTCATATTTCATCTACTACAGTCTGATTGCAATTACTTTGCAAGTATGGCCACACAAATTCATGATATCAAACAAATATCATCCAACTCGATGCAATGGAATCTCAAAGTCAGAGTGGTTCGAATGTGGATAATGCCGGATTGCTTTAACCCGCAAATACCGTTTTCAATTGAATTGGTTTTACAGGATTCTAAGGTAACATATTCAACTTTCTCATAGTTTTAAACTTACTAATGTAGTCACATTCCATATGAAAATTCTTTCTGATGCATTACTTAAATAATTCGACTTCCATATCAACAGATCTTTAACTGATCTGGAATCCATTGTGTCATTTCGTTTTTCACTTCGAATGTTGAGTATACCTTTACACAGTGATTGTCCTTATATTAACAATCAGGTAAGTTGCATCTTTGTACATAATAATAGATTTATTGTTCAAAATAACACAGGAATTATTCTGCTATTAAAGAAGTATTGTTCAAAATATATAAGTTCGGCAAATATTAGCTACTGCTTACCTTGGTTACACGATCATCGGATGAACATATACAAACTACGTTTATATATGCAATTTTCAGCTTTGTTTCTGCTAATGTTGCCTTCATAATTGATATACAACAACTGTAGCATTCTGGTTTTTGACATTACATCTTTTAACAACTTTACACAGTGATGAAAGTATATACGCGCTTACATTTGTTGGCTTCATAATTGTGCACTAATAATGAATATGAATTTGCAGGGTGATCGTATACATGCTACAATCGGAAAGTATGTTCTTAAGTTTTTTAGGAACAAGATACATGAACTTCGCTTATATCGTATGAACTACTTTGTAGTCGGACCAAATAATTTGAAGTTGAGGACTACGACACACAAGTTGAAGCTGACATTTACTCAAAAGACATTTGTCGAGGAAACAAATGATCCTTCATTTCATATGAACATCTTTAACTTGCGCCCTTTTCACCAACTAACAAATGAACATGATGTCGATGAGACAGAATTACTCGGTAATATTTTTTAAAATTTTAAATGAAGTTAAAAATGTTATTTCTTAAAGTATGTCACTAACTTTTATATTTATAGATGTTGTTGGTCAGATTGTGACCTATGAAGATGTTAAGACCTACAATCAGGGAGACGATCAAAGTTTCCTTATTAATGTTGTACTCGAAGATGATCAGTAAGTACTTTTAAAATAGAAAAAATACTTTATTGATAGATTACATATATATGTGTCTATTAACCTTACCATGAAACGTATAGGAGGAACAGGATTATGGCTATATTATGGAGCGAACTTGTGGATCAAATTCAACATCACTTGAATGAATCTGCCGATGAGCCTTTGATTGTTGTTTTCCAGCATATGAAACCTCAAAAATATCGAGGTTTACCATAAATTACATGTATTTTTTTATTTTATTGTATAAATAATTTTAAATTTCAAATTTTTATTCATATTTCATTTGACACACAGGTAATTACTCAGTGCGTAGCTGCTGGTATCAAACAAAGATATGGATAAATTCTACGTTGCCGCATTCTATTGAATTTAAATCCAGGTTTGTGAAGTGTATAATCCTTTTCTATATGTACAGAAAATATAACAATAGTATTTATAAATTACAATTTTTGACTTATGCAGATTACTTGCAGCACGTTAATCAAACATTGAGCGAATCACTCGAACAAGTTCTCAACAAAGTTACTCTGTTAGAGATGAGTTAGACAAAGGAATTGTACTGTTTAAAACTATTAGGGATTTAGTTCAGTGCACGCAAGTGAGTTTAATTTACTTTCTCAATTATGTTTACCTTATGTTATCTGTTTTGCATTTACAATAATTGTTTATTTTTTACTCAATAGGAATCCAGCTATTGGATTGTGGCAAAATTGGTTAATTTGGAACTTGACCGGGCATGATCATACTTGGCATGCAACAAGTGTAGTCGAAATGTGAAAAAAGTTGGAAATAATTACTTTTGTGCCAAATGCAATGAAGAAGAGTCTTCTGTTACTCACAGGTTAGTACTATTTAGTGAAAATTTTAAAATCTTATATCTATAAAAAATATGCATAAGGTTAATAAAAATTGAGTTGCAGGTATAGGCTTCAAGTTCGTGTTATGGATGGAACCGCTTTTATCTCATTGTTGCTTTGGAATCGCGAAGCTATGCAACTTATAGGGAAGTCCGCAAAAGAACTTAAGGAAAGATTAGTTGAGATATACTACTAAATTTAGTTTGATTAACCATAAAAATATTTCTAACTTATGAAATTTGGTGCAGACTTCACTTGCGGATGCTGACTGTTCTTATCCAAGTGAAGTGGACGATATTCTTTATAAAAAATTCATGTTCAAGGTTATTGTTAAGCAAGAGAATATTGAGTCGCAGGTCTAAGTCTACAAAGTTCTTAAATTTACTGATGATGATGACCTTCTAAAGGAATACAACCATACTTTATTCGAAGACAATATGAATGTAAATTTTTTGACAAAATAGATGGGACCTCAAATGTTAGACTTAGATTGATTGGGAAAAGAGGCTCTGATGGAAGAAGATACAATTTACCAACAGTTTTAGAGGTAGCTGCTTTGATAGTTGGAGATTTTGAACAAACAAGGTCTGACAGAGATATCATAGTTGAAAGCCAATCTGGACAACTACAAAGGATAAATGAATTAAATGCAGCATACTTAGGTTTGCAATATCCATTATTATTTCCGTATGGTGAAGACGGATACCGAGAAGATATTCCTTTAAATGATATTGATGTTTCAGCCGGTGGAAGGAAATGTGTTAGCACGCGTGAGTACTTATCATATAAAATTCAAGAAAGGAAGGATGAAGTTCCTTCAATTGTGTCAGCTAGAATATTATTTCAACAATTCTTGGTAGATGGTTATACAATGATGGAATCTTCTCGATTGAAGTTCATTAGGCTTCATCAAAAACAATTGAGAGCACACTTTTATAATAGGTTACAAGATGTTGTTTTACATGGGGACATAGAACCTTCTTCTCAAGGACAAAGAGTTATACTCTCTTCTAGCTTTACGGGAGGTGCACGTTACATGTTGCAAAATTATCAAGATGCCATGGCAATTTGCAAATGGGCGGGGTACCCTGATTTGTTCATCACATTTACTTGCAACCCAAAATGGCCTGAGATTACTAGATTTGTGGAGAGTAGGGGCTTATCTCCAGAAGATCGTCCCGACGTTTTAACAAGGGTTTTCAAAATCAAGCTCGATCGCATGATAAAGGATATACGCGACAATAAGGTTTTTGGAGAAGTAAAAGCAGGTAAAAATTTTATGTTCTACAAAATTATTATGTTTGCACATTCATTTTCTTATATGCTAATATTAAAAATAACTAATATATAAACTTAACAATCTAATTACATCTTTATTCTTCAGTGATATATACAGTTGAATTTCAAAAGCGGGGCTTGCCTCATGCACACATCTTGCTTTTTCTTGTGAATAAATACCCAACTGTCGGAGATATTGATGGAATAATTTCAGCAGAATTACCAGATAAAAAAGTAGATCCTTATTATTATAATGCTGTTACAAATTTCATGATGCATGGTCCTTGTGGTACTGCTAGAAAATCTTCTCCTTGCATGCAAAATGGTAGATGCACAAAGCACTTTCCAAAAAAATTTGTGTCATCAACCACAATTGATGAAGATGGGTATCCAATTTATAGAAGAAGGGATGATGGTAGAACTGCAAATAGAGTAGGTATTGCGTTGGATAATAGGTATGTTGTACCACACAATCGATTTTTATTATTGAAGTATGGTGCACACATTAATGTGGAGTGGTGTAATCAATCACGATCCATTAAGTACTTATTTAAGTTTGTTAATAAAGGTAATGATCGTGTCACATCAGCTTTTTCTCAAAGTGTAAATAATGAAGACTCGGGGGTGGTTGATGAAATAAATATGTATTGTGATTGCCGATACATATCACCTTGTGAAGCTGCTTGGAGAAGTTTTAAATTCCCAATACACCATAGAGAACCATCTGTAGAAAGACTATCTTTTCACCTACCAAATAATCAGACGGTCATATTTTCGGATGATGATCCAATTGATGCAGTTGTCAATACACCAACCGTTAAGGAATCTATATTTTTAAGATGGTTTGAAGCTAATAAGACTTTTGCTGAAGCAAGAGAATTGACTTATGTAGAATTTTCTCTAAAGTTTGTGTGGAAACAAAACCTAAAAAGATGGGAAAAAAGAAGAACTTCTGCATTTTCTATTGGGAGAATATTCTTTGTTCCACCTTCCTCTGGCGAGCAATATTACCTTAGATTGTTGTTGAATGTAGTTAAAGGTCCAAAAAGCTATGAGGATTTAAAAAAAATCAACGGTTCTGATCATGAGACATTTAGAGATGCATGTTATGCTTTGGGTTTATTAGATGATGATGATAAGGAATACGTGGATGCTATCATGGAAGCAAGTAATTGGGGAATGACATCATATCTTAGGCAAATATTTGCTATGCTACTTTTATCAAATTCAATGTCACGTTCAGAAAGTGTTTGGCAAGCAACATGGCATTTACTATCAGAAGATATCCTTTATGAAGAAAGAAGAATATTGGATAACCCGGGTATGTATTTAATGGTTAAAGTTTCCAGTTATGATATGACAATTCTGAATAATGGCTGATTTGCTTAACTTTATTAGTTAGCTTTATTTTTAATTACTTAATTCATATTAACCTGATTGTTCATTTATTTCTTTTTTTTTTGTTTTTTCAACTTCATACAAAATTCACTCCACAACTTAAGGTTCGTTAAGCAATATTTTCTTATTTTCATATCTTTTTAATATAACATTGTGTTTACATCATAGGAATAATATTGGTACTAATTAATGCATTTTTCAGACATAAAAAGTAATAGAAAATTAATGCATTGTGTTTAATGCTCTAAAACTTTGGGAAAGGCTATAATCGCTTTTATGCATTCTCTACTTTATTTGAAAAAATTTCAATTCATTTTTTTGGGATAGCAAATACTGCTTTTTATTTATAGGTTATGAATAATAATATGCATAAAATTAATAATAATTTTTACAAATTAAAAAACCACATGGTTTGAACTATATTATTCGTTCAAATTCTATGTATGTTAAATGTGTTTAAAATTAATGTACACTACTATTGAACAATATATTTTTTCGTTAATTTTATTTTTAATTTCATGTTGCTAAAGTAAACTTTACCATTTAATTGTATTTAATTATTTTACATTATAATGTTATTTCAGAAGCTTACCTAACAGATGAAGAATTGAAAAATCGTTGTTTGCAAAAGCTTGAAACTTTTTTGAAAGGTTGTCGAAGTATTTTTCTAGATTTTCCAACAATGTCAAGGCCTGTTTATAATACAGATTAATTGTATTTAATTATTTTACATTCTAATGTTATTTCAGAAGCTCACCTAACAGATGAAGAATTGAAAAATCGTTGTTTGCAAAAGCTTGAAACTTTTTTGAAAGGTTGTGGAAGAAGTTTTCTAAATTTTCCAACAATGCCAAGGCCTGTTTATAATACGGAAGAAGTTGATAACAATAATATATTAATACGGGATGAATTGCGTTATAATAAACGCGCTTTGGCAGAGGAACATCAACAATTAGTAAAGAATTTGACAGATGAGCAAAAGTCAGTTTATGAAAAAATAATAAGAGATGTGAATGAAGACAAAGGTGAGTTTTTCTTTTTATATGGTTTTGGAGGAACGGACAAGACTTTTATTTGGAGAACTCTATCTTCTGCCATAATATCTAGAGGAGATATTGTCTTAACTGTTGCATCTAGCGAGATTGCATCTTTGTTGTTACCAGGTGGTCGAAAAGCTCATTCAAGATTTGTGATTCCTCTAAATGTAACTGAAGATTCAACATGTAATATAAAGCAAGGTACTCCTTTAGCAAATTTAATTATTAAGGCAAAGTTGATTATCTGGGATGAGGCACCCATGATGCATAGATATTGTTTTGAAGCTCTTGATAAAACTTTAAGAGATATTCTTAGGTTTAAAGATGCATCCAATTTACACCGACCATTTGGAGGTAAAACAATTGTTCTTGGTGGTGACTTCAGACAAATATTACCTGTTATTCCAAAAGGTAGTAGGCAAGATATTGTTAATGCTTCTCTCAATTCTTCTTATTTGTGGCCTCACTGTCAACTGTTAAAGTTAACAAAGAACATGAGATTGCAAGGTAATGAAATAGGGACACATCTAGATGAGTTGAGAGTTTTTTCAGATTGGATTTTGGTAATTGGCGATGGTATAGTTGGTACTTCTGTTGATGGCAATAAAAAAGTCCAAATACCAGATGATCTTTTGATAAAACAATTCGTTGATCCAACATCTGCAATTGTAGAAAGTACGTATCCGAATTTCAACAGTCGTTGCAATGATATAGGATACCTACAACAAAGAGCCATTCTTACTCAAACTCTTGATATGGTGGAATCAATCAACGAATATATGATTTCCCTTAATGAAAGTTCTGAGAAATCATATTTGAGTTCCGATACAATCTGCAACTCTGATAGTACTTATTCAGCACTGGAACATGTACACACTCCTGAATTCTTAAATACAATTAAATGTTCTGGAGTTCCAAATCATGCTCTTACGCTAAAGGTTGGTATTCCACTAATGTTATTAAGAAATATTGGTCAGTCAGCAGGATTATGTAATGGAACAAGGTTGATCATAACTAAACTTGGAAATCAAGTTATTGAAGCAAAGGTTTTAGCGGGACAGATGGCTGGACAGAAAGTGTTTATTCCAAGAATGACATTGACGCCATCTGATGCTAGAATTCCATTCAAGTTCCAGCGAAGACAATTTTCAATCATTGTATCTTTTGCCATGACAATCAACAAAAGCCAAAGACAGTCATTGTCTCACGTGGGATTATTTTTAAAAAAACCAGTTTTTACACATGGACAACTATATGTTGCTCTTTCTCGAGTGACGAGTAGAAAGGGATTAAAAATATTGGTTTGTGATGACGATGGGAATATAACTACTGAAGCTACAAATGTTGTATTTAAAGAAGTTTTTCGAAATTTAGTCTAACACTCGAAAGATAATCAATATCTTTTTTGAGCTTTAAGTACAACTTTTGTTACTGAGATTCATTAACCAAGTGTGACAATAGATGTTGACAACATATCTGAAGCATGTAATAGGTACGCTTTACTTTTCTGCTCTTTTCTTATATATTTCTCTATTTCTCTATTCTGTATATAAATTAACTTTTTTAAAAATATTACAAATATAGATATGTCATGATTTGCCATAATATGGATTAACAGACTTCTTACATCGCATTTTTGAATAGGCAATGAATTTCATATACGAATTTGGTTTTAATATGCTAATTCATCAATCGGACATTGTAAAATTTCATCAAATGTAATTGGATTAAATAAACTTATGGATGTTTCAGTGTACTGGTAATCGGTTTACTAATTTTTTGGTTTGAAATATAGTTAGTGTGATAAGCATCCACTTTTTTACAAATTAATCAGCCTTATTGTTGGTTCTCATAGCAGATGCATTGGAACGAAGGGAGTAACTTGGCGTCCAGTTGACTATCATGTTACTTGCAGTTCCAGAAGTGAATTTCTTTTGTGTTTCTCTGTGTGTGTGAGAGAGGAGAATAACTGGAAACATATTCAAGTTTTACGCCTTTGAACTGATTCATATAAATGAGAGTGAGTTGTGCAGATACCAATTAAATGGTTTTTGCAAACAGGTCGTTACAAGGATTGCTTTTCCATCAGGCTCGGATAAGCTTTATTGAGGGAGTACGGACAAGATAGTAAGAGTGTGGGATTGCCAATCTGGACAGGTTCTCCTCATTCATTTCCATTTCAGTTTTTGAAGTTATGAAACACGAAAACTGGTATAGGAAAAATGTCTTTGTCGCTTGAAATCTTGATACTGTATAAAATTCTCTGGGAAAACTAGGAAAGAATGTTACTTGCACGTCTCTGCTTCTTTCCCTGCTAGCTGAACTAAGCACTTTTCTCTATTAATTCCTGTTAAAAAGCATGGGAGTCAAGGCTTTACTTTTTATTGCTGAATTCATGGTGAAAATAAAAAAGGAAAGAGATTAGTGCAGAATAGTAATGTTATCTTTTGGTTGCATCAGATCTTAATAGCACACACTGCCTCAAAGATAAGGAGTTCCAGTTTAGCATGTTACAAACATATAAATTTAAGCTACTTCTGTGAGGACCCAAATCCCGGTCGTGATGGCGCCCAACACACTACTAGGCAAACCCGACCATTATTCAATACTTAACCCAATTGATCAAAAATAGCGGATGGAAATATCAATTAATTCAAGATCAAAGTACTGAAGAGTTTAACAAAATACACAACATAATCTCACTAGGACCCGATGTTACGAATCTGAGCCTCTAGAATACAGAATATCATCCTAATACATGATATATCCAAAGTATGATAATGCGGAAATAAAGAGATAGGATAGGAGGGAGAAGATCAATGGTTGCGAACGCCGTGCAGCTACCTCGATACTCCCAGAGGCTGGATCT